TGCATTTCACGGTAGCTGCCGAGCGTGATCCGTGGCGCGTCTACGCTTCCTGATACGCTTGGTCAATTACGCAAAAGAAATGCTAGTATAAAAGAACAAAATCTGCCAAGTAAATTAAATGACGCGAACTTTAACGCACGTTCGCAGGTGCGTTTGCACGCGCGCTCGCCCTTCGAGCCGGTAGGAAGCGCGAGTCCGCCGTCGACAAGTCCGCACAGTGACGGACAAAATGTCACGTCACAATATATATATATTATTAGCTGCTTTCCATTTACGCACAAGTGAAACTGAGGGTGCCGTCACATGCGGCGTAACATACGTAAGCACAACCTGTGTATTCTAGTAATTTACTAGAATACGTTATTTTTTATTTACTAGAATACGTCATTCTGTAAGCCCGCATTCACATTGAGCGTATTTCGGAAGATTAGAGAAATGCGGAACTAATGTGTTACAGTTAATGAGATCTTGTAATTGAATATAAGGATGGGCCGATAGAAATCCACAAGTATCTTTCTGGTGCACACGAGTAAATATATAAGTTTAATCACACAATACAGAAGTACAGAACAGAACGTAAAAAGAGTCACAGACAGATAATAGAGTGAAGGACGAACATAATGTAGTCGACAAAAAAGAGGGGGGCGCACACACACAGGAACTAAGGAATATGAATGCCGCCAATGAATGTATCTTAAAGTCCCTAGTCAAAGCGCGTCACGATTCTTCTCTCTCTCCAACACTCCTATCGGGGCGTGCGTACTATCATATATATGTCACACTAAGGGCCTGCGCACAATAGAGGAACAAGAATTAGATATTAAGTTTTCAACCTATCAGAAACCGTGTATTCCGATGTAATCAGTTTCTGATAGGTTAAAATCTTAATATCTAATTCCTGTTCCTCTATTGTGCTTAGGCTCTTATGATATAGGTTTAATTTTACTTAACTTTAGCATATTAATATAATGATTATGTTTAACTTTTGACAGTGCTTTCGTTAACACATCTGCTGGCATTTGGTCAGTTCTTAAGTACCTGATTATTACTTCCTTTTGACTAACTAATTCTC